TAGGCATCTATCCAAAGAAAAAAAAGATATTCTATAATAAAGTCGAATGTTTATAGCAGCATAATTCACAATTGCAAAGATGTGGAAACAACCCCAATGCCCATCAATACATAAGTAGATTAATAAAATATGGTATATGTATACCATGGAATACTACTCAAATACAAAAAACAATGGTGATCTAGCACCTCTTATATTATCCTGGATAGAGATTGAGGCCATCCTTCAAAGTGAGATATTACAAAGATGGAAAACCATGCACCACGTGTATTCACCATCAAATTGGTACTAACTGATCAACACTAAGTTGCTCACATGATAGTAATACTCACTGGGTGTCAGTAGGGGTGGAGGGGGTAAATTCACAACTAGTGAAAACGGAATGCACTGTATCAGGGAGAAACATGCTTGTAGCCCTGGCTTGGGTGGGGCAAACAGCATTACATGTAACCTAAATGTTTGTACCCCCATAATATCCTGAATAAATAAAAAAACTTATATATAACACTTAATAAAATGGAAATAAAAAAGAGACTGTAAGAATGGATCAAAAAAATGAGACTCAGCCAGGCACCATGGCTCATGCCTGTAATTCTAACACTTTGGGAAGATAAGGAAGGAGAATTGTTTGAGGCCAGCAGTTCAAAAACAGCCTGTGTAACATAGCAAGACTCCTGTCTGTACAAAAACTACAAAAATTAGCTGGGCATGGTGCTAAATGCATTGTTAAAGTTGTAATATGTTATGAAAAATCTATGTCTCAAAATCACATTGGATTTCAAAATAGCAAAATATAGGTTATTGCATAGCAATCTTTTCTCTTCATTGTATTATTAAATGATTTGCCAGATAGTTTCTGATAACCAAAATAATAATAATAATGTGGAGAAAGGAAAGAATGTTTTTTATCATGATAAAGAAACAATGAATCCAGGCTAAGCACTTTGAACTGGGTAGGTTTTCTAAAAATTATTTTGTAACACCAAAAAATTATTCCAGAGAGCATTAACCCAAATAAGTAAAGAATCTGTAATTTTTTTTGAAAAATACAACTCCTCTGCTAGAATGAAAAAATAACAAAATGATCATTTTAAATAAACATTTTTGCCATCCTAAAAATAGAAAATGAAAGAATTGAAATGTGCGAAAAATGGCATCAAGATGAAGGGCTTTAATGGCCTGAAGGGAAATATTTTGGATGAAGAAAACCTGTTGTGACTAGATATTTAGAAAAGAGAAGACACGGAATAATCAAATAACAAAGAAATGCACTACAAAAAAGAAAAATTAGAGTGATCACCAAGAAAGAGACAATGGGAAATATTTTTCAAAACCACTTTATGAGATTTAATTTATAAACCATACAACATGAAAAATATTTTTGCAGTCTTAGCAAGTTAATACATTGTTCACCTTTAGTAAAAAATATAAAATAAATTGTCACTAAGTTTTTAAAAAGTAGTACACTAATACAAGCATGCAAATTGACCCACAATCTAACAAAAATTGTCAAACAAAAAATTACATGTCACTGATGCAACTATAGCATGTCTTATATATGATAGATCATGTTTTGTCCAAAGTAAAATTAGTAACAATTGTGAAATTTGCTAAGTTATTTAAACTTCAAGAGGAATAGAATAAAAATATTTATAATATTAAGGATATTATATATAAACATTTTGTCACAAATTATAGAAAATATATCTACTTCCCCAAGATATTGAATCATTCGGTAAATTTCTAACCATAACATGAGGCAATATTTTAAGCCACAATACTATAATTTCAAAATGTAGCTGTATAGTAAATGAAACTTAATATAAAAACAATTTTTAAAAATTTAAATCTCATTAAATATTTGACATATTTTATATCTGCTAGTGATATAAAAAATATTTCTTCTTTTTTCCACAATGTTAGTGCAGTATAAAGAAGTTTCCAATCATGTAATAACTCCTCTAATTTATTATAAAATGCTTATTCTTTAGTTATTTTAGAATAGAAAAGTTATAGACATTTACTTATCTGGCATCTTATAAGACTATTCAATCTAATAATTGGTACAGTTGTTCTATTAGTTGGAATTATTTAGGGGTTTAAATTGCCATAGTTTGCCATAAGTTTGTCTTAGGGCAGTGAGGAGGAAAGTTATTTCTTTCTTATTTATTTATTTATTTTTATGGCAAATAATGATGAATTACAATTCTTTAATACTACAAAAGAATTCTAAAATTCTTACCTGATACGACACCAATTCCATCATCACAGTCATAGTCAGAGACTTCACTATCACTTATTCTTTTTGACCCTATGAAACAAATAGCGAGAATTAAAAATGTTGATTATTTAAGGGGAAAAAACCTTTTAATAACTTGAAAAATAAATGATAGGATTTTAAGTGAATCACTTGAGAGTAAAGTATATATATATATACAGAAGGAAAGTCATTATGAGCTTCCCAACACTTATTTTCACACACATTTCATGATGTGAGCATATATGGGTGATGAGAAGTTAATGATTTACACAAGAATTATTCTATAAACTTATAAGGTAAAATTCCTAAGTGGTTTAAAGATTGATACAACATTAAGTACAAGACAACGTTTGTAAATTATCTGACCTATTGAACTGATTGATAAAATCTAAAAGTTAATTTTAGATGCTTGTGGACAAAGGCACTTAAGTCTAGGTAAATTTCAAAGCACAATGTATTATTTTCAAAAGTATTAATGTGCCTTTTTCTAATAGGCATGACTAATAAACTGAATATATTTAAATTTTTATTTTTCATGCTCATGGAAAAGTTCAATAGAGAAAAGTAAACTCACTTAAGACATCTTAAACCTTCTTTTTCAACTATTTAGTTTAGCTATTTCCCTATTGCTTTGAGAAGACAATAATAATGCATCCACACAACTAACACATCTAAATTGTGGATTGTATTTTCTGAGAAATAGCCTCCTCTTATATTATCCTGGATAGAGATTGAGGCCATCCTTCAAAGTGAGGTATTACAAAGATGGAAAACCATGCACACGTGTATTCACCATCAAATTGGTACTAACTGATCAACACTAAGTTGCTCACATGATAGTAATACTCACTGGGTGTCAGTAGGGGTGGAGGGGTAAATTCACAACTAGTGAAAACGGAATGCACTGTATAAGGGAGAACATGCTTGTAGCCCTGGCTTGGGTGGGACAAACAGCATTGCATGTAACCTAAATGTTTGTACCCCATAATATCCTGAATAAATAAAAAAACTTATATATAACACTTAATAAAAATGGAAATAAAAAAGAGACTGTAAGAATGGATCAAAAAAATGAACTCAGCCAGGCACCATGGCTCATGCCTGTAATTCTAACACTTTGGGAAGATAAGGAAGGAGAATTGTTTGAGGCCAGCAGTTCAAAACAGCCTGTGTAACATAGCAAGACTCCTGTCTGTACAAAAACTACAAAATTAGCTGGGCATGGTGCTATACATTGTTTAAAGTTGTAATATATTAGAAAATCTATGTCTCAAATCACATTGGATTTCAAAACAGCAAAATATAGGTTATTGCATAGTAATCTTTTCTCTTCATTGTATTATTAAAATGATTTGCCAGATAGTTTCTGATAACCAAAAATAATAATAATAATGTGGAGAAAGGAAGAATGTTTTTTTCATGATAAAGAAACAATGAATCCAGGGTAGAGCACTTTGAACTGGTAGGTTTTCTAAACATTATTTTGTAACACCAAAAAATTATTCAGAGAGCATTAACCCAAATAAGTAAAGAATCTATATTTTTTTGAAAAATACAACTCCTCTGCTAGAATGAAAAAAATAACAAAATGATCATTTTAAATAAACATTTTTGCCATCCTAAAAATAGAAAATGAAAGAATTGAAATGTGCGAAAAATGGCATCAGATGAAGGGCTTTAATGGCCTGAAGGGAAATATTTTGGATGAAGAAAACCTGTTGTGACTAGATATTTAGAAAAGAGAAGACACGGAATAATCAAATAACAAAGAAATGCACTACAAAAAGAAAAATTAGAGTGATCACCAAGAAAGAGACAATGGGAAATATTTTTCAAAACCACTTTATGAGATTTAATTTATAAACCATACAACATGAAAAATATTTTTGCAGTCTTAGCAAGTTAAATACATTGTTCACCTTTAGTAAAAAATATAAAATAAATTGTCACTAAGTTTTAAAAGTAGTACACTAATACAAGCATGCAAATTGACCCACAATCTAACAAAAATTGTCAAACAAAAAATTAATGTCACTGATGCAACTGTAGCATGTCTTATATATGATAGATCATGTTTTGTCAAAAGTAAAATTAGTAACAATTGTGAAATTTGCTAAGTTATTTAAACTTCAAGAGGAATAGAATAAAAATATTTATAATATTAAGGATATTATATATAAACATTTTGTCACAAATTATAGAAAATATATCTACTTCCCCAAGATATTGAATCATTCGGTAAATTTCTAACCATAACATGAGGCAATATTTTAAGCCACAATACTATAATTTCAAAATGTAGCTGTATAGTAAATGAAACTTAATATAAAAACAATTTTTAAAATTTAAATCTCATTAAATATTGACATATTTTATATCTGCTAGTGATATAAAAATATTTCTTCTTTTTTCCACAATGTTAGTGCAGTATAAAGAAGTTTCCAATCATGTAATAACTCCTCTAATTTATTATAAAATGCTTATTCTTTAGTTATTTTAGAATAGAAAGTTATAGACATTTACTTATCTGGCATCTTATAAGACTATTCAATCTAATAATTGGTACAGTTGTTCTATTAGTTGGAATTATTTAGGGGTTTAAATTGCCATAGTTTGCCATAAGTTTGTCTTAGGGCAGTGAGGAGGAAAGTTATTTCTTTCTTATTTATTTATTTATTTTTATGGCAAATAATGATGAATTACAATTCTTATATACTCAAAAGAATTCTAAAATTCTTACCTGATACGACACCAATTCCATCATCACAGTCATAGTCAGAGACTTCACTATCACTTATTCTTTTTGACCCTATGAAACAAATAGCGAGATTAAAAATGTTGATTATTTAAGGAAAAAACCTTTTAATAACTTGAAAAATAAATGATAGGATTTTAAGTGAATCACTTGAGAGTAAAAGTATATATATATATACAGAAGGAAAGTCATTATGAGCTTCCCAACACTTATTTTACACACAATTTCATGATGTGAGCATATATGGGTGATGAGAAGTTAATGATTTACACAAGAATTATTCTATAAACTTATAAGGTAAAATTCCTAAGTGGTGGTGCCAGGCGTGGTGGCTCACGCCTGTAATCCTAGCACTTTGGGAGGCTGAGGCGGGCGGATTGCTCAAGGTCAGGAGTTCGAAACCAGCCTGAGCGAGACCCCGTCTCTACCAAAAATAGAAATAAATTAATTGACCAACTAAAAATATATATACAAAAAATTAGCCGGGCATGGTGGCGCATGCCTGTAATCCCAGCTACTCGGGAGGCTGAGGCAGTAGGATCGCTGAGCCCCGGAGATTGAGGTTGCTGTGAGCCAGGCTAATGCCACGGCACTCACTCTAGCCTGGGCAACAAAGTGAGACTCTGTCTCAAAAAAAAAAAAAAATTCCTAAGTGGTTTAAAGATTGACACAACATTAAGTACAAGACAATGTTTGTAAATTATCTGACCTATTGAACTGATTGATAATATCTAAAAGTTAATTTTAGATGCTTGTGGACAAAGGCACTTAAGTCTAGGTAAATTTCAAAGCACAATATATTATTTTCAAAAGTATTAATGTGCCTTTTTCTAATAGGCATGACTAATAAACTGAATATATTCAAATTTTTATTTTTCATGCTCATGGAGAAGTTCAATAGAGAAAAGTAAACTCACTTAAGACATCTTAAACCTTCTTTTTCAACTATTTAGTTTAGCTATTTCCCTATTGCTTTGAGAAGACAATAATAATGCATCCACACAACTAACACATCTAAATTGTGCATTGTATTTTCTGAGAAATAGCCTAAGAGCAATAAATTATTATAATTTGAGATATGTATGGTTTCCCTTACAAATCTGTAACAATATTTTAAAATGTTAATCCTACTATGGCAAAAATAGCATCAGATTGAATTAACTAGAATTTTGATGGCTAAAGCAGATTATGACTTCACACTTAATTATGAAATATATCACATACAGAAATAAACTTTTTTAAAACTATTTTCTTCTACCTGTGTCTCAGGAATGGACATACCCTACACAATAGAATCCTTTATTAAAGCATTTTCCCCTTCTTTGGTATCAGAAAACATTTAATAATGAATGACTTTTTTATCTGTCTTCTACAAAACATGTTATTCATTAAATAGATGGAATTTAGTTTTATTAGAAAATAAGTGCTTTCCTGTATGGTTCATAAGATACTGAGAGCTCATTTTGCATAAGGTATCTAAATATTCCAAGAATGTACTCCAAATATCTGCAACCTACTCTTAGAAATACTCTATAAATTTTTGCCTTTTGTTTGTTTGTTTTAATCCCTGCCCTTTTTGAGGAGGGACAATCTTGCTTGCTAGAAACCACAGCTTTACTTTTCTGCTTATAATGGTTAGGAAGAATATAACTATCTATTTTTATCATGTGGTCTCACTGAATGGACTCTTACTAATTTCTTTCCAAATGTTTATGTCATAAAGCTTTAGACACAATCAAATCAGAGGCCTTTATAGATCCAATTGATATTAAAACTAGAATTATCTGAGAATATCCCAGAAGACAGGGCACCAAAAGATCTACCAAATTAGAATATACATTCTAATGGACTTGGGATAGAAGGGTCACACAGGAGAGACTTAAGGAGAGGAGGAGAGACGTAGGGAGAATTGCTATCCTGCTTGTAACAAGGCTTCCAACTTGCAAATACCCAAAGACAAGGTAATGATTAGTTTACTATGCCAGATATGCTACAGAACATAAAGATTACAAACTTTTGGTATTGGTCAAAAGTCAAATCAAGAATGACACCAGCAAATGATGAAATTTATTTTATCAGCTGTTGTGAGTTGGCCAGTGTGTGTAAGAGTGTGTGTGCATGTATGTGTACACACTTGGGAGTGTGGTGGCATGTGTAGTTCATAAATTGCTTCTTCCTTCCAAATTTTATTGATTTCTTTCCAGATAGAGACTTATCTGTTTTGATGTTAATCCTATAGAGGTTAAATATACTGGAATTATGTTCCTTCAATTTGGATCTTTTGACATTCTGATGAATTCCAGTTCTTAGGTTTAATGTCATTGAATATATCAGTGTTTTCTTTTGAAATAAGTGTTTTCCGTGTCTTGTTTAAGAACTATTTCTTGACCTCTGAGCAGAGAGATAGTGTCCTATATTTTCTTCTAAAAGTTTAAAAATTTTGCTTGTTGCATTTACATCCTCAACCATATTGAATTGAGTTTGTGTATAGGGCAATTTTACTTTGTCATATGGATAGCACATATCTCAGGATTGTTTCTTTAATATTTCTACTTTTCTTGAATGATCTGTGATGTCATCTGTCTGTCATACATAAATGAATCATATCTGCAAGGACCCAATGCAATTTAAATCAAAATCCCAATAGGATGGTCTGGTACTCTTTTTTTCCCTGTACAGGTTGTCTATCTATAAACCAATGACTCTTTACTTTTGTTACTATAGTGTTATATATTGAAGAACAGATGAACACATACATATTGAAGAACAGATGAAGACCATCTATCTACCTTATCATTCATTTACTGATTTCTGCTCTTATTTTTTATTTCATTCCCTTCACTGTGAATTTATTTCACTATTCTTTTCCTAAACTCTTGAGTTGGATGGGCACATTATAATTTTTAGCCTTTTAATGTTTTCTAACATAAGCATTCCCTCTGAGTACTTTCCTGTATTACTCTAATATGTATATATAATATATTGATTAAACTTTTGTTCTAGCTATTTTCTTCATAGGACTATAAGATATTTACCATACTTATTAAATCTAAGACACCATCAATTGTGTGATGCATTACAATTTTGAGATGATAGAGCTTGGAAAAAATGTTTATTACAAGAAAGGTTTCTAATTTTTTTTTAATTTTCAAATGTATGGGTATAATTTATCTTTTTTTACAATTGACATAGTAACATTATATTGAAAAATATTTCCTGCATTACATTAATTCTTTGAAATGCATCAAAAATGAATTATGGATTAGTATATTATTAATAATAATTCTTATAAATTTTTCATAAATGTAACAAAAAATGTTAATTCATTCATTGTTAGGTGTGAGTTCTTTATCTGATCATTAGATGACACTTGTTAATTGTGTGTTTGATTTTTTTGTACTTTCCCTAAATTTTGATTTTCTTGATCTATCCATGATGGAGATTAAATTATATTGGAATCTCCTTCAATGGTGATAAAATTTGTTAATTTTTATCTCTAGTATTATTTTATGTATATTGAAGTTAGTTCATTGAATACATGTAAGTTAAAAATTATTTCAATAGATGTAGAAAAATCATCTGAAAAAAATTTAACCTCCATTCTTTATAGAATGTCTTGGTAAGACAAGAACTTCCTCAAACTGGTAAAGGGCATCTACCAAAAAACCTATAACTAACAATTGCACTTAATTAAGAAATATTAAATGCCCCTAAGACAAAGAACAAGTAAAGGATGTTCACTGCAAGGATGAACCTTCTATTTAACATTTACTGTATGTCCTAGACAGCAATGCAGCAAGGAAAAGAAATGAAAAGCATACAGATTAGAAAGCAAGAAATAAAATGTTCATGTAAATAAAAAATTCTAAGGAAGTTATAAAAAACTTATTAAGACTAATAAGTGAATTTAGCAAGATTGGAGGATACATAGGCAATATAAAAATAAATTATATTTCTTAGAGAACAGTAATGTACAATTGGAAAATTGATTTCATGGCCAAAATCATCTATAAGAATTTCCAAAATCATTAAATACTTAGGAATACACTGAACACAAAATGTGCAAAACATGTACACCTCAAACCATAAAACACAATGCTATATTAGTTTCCAAGGGCTGCTATAACAAAATACTAAAAACTGAGTACCTTAAAACAACAGAAATTTGTTGTCTTATAGCTCTAGAGGCTAGAAGTACAAAATCAAGGTTTCAGCAAAGCCATACTCTCTCTGAGGGCTCTAGGAAAAAATCCTTCCTTATCTCTCTCACATCTGGTGTTTGCCAGTAATCCTTTGTGTTCCTCTGCTTGCTGAGGCATCTCTCAAGTCACATGACCATCTTCTCCCTGTATATCTTCACCTTGTCTTCCCTGTGTGCGTGGCTATCCCTCTGTCCAAATTTTTCCTTTTTTCAAGGACATCACTCATATTGTATTAGAGCCCACCTTAATGACCTCATTTTAACTTAGTTACCTTTGTAAAGACCACATTTACAAATAAGGTCACATCCTGAGGTACTGGGGGTCAGGACTTCAATCTATCTTTTGTTGGGGATGCAATTCAATTTGAACAACTGCTACCAAATTAAAGAATATTTAAATAAATGGAGAGACTTTTCTGTAAAATTGAAAGCCAGAGATAATAAAATAACATTACCAGAATGCTGAGAGAAAAAAAAAGTCATTCTAGGATTTTACACATAGCTAAACTTTCTGCTAGATATATTCAGAAGAACAAAGCCTGTTTTCAATTCTTCACTGAAAGAAAGTACATTCTTAAAAAATATACTTCAAAAATAAAGAAATTTATCCCAAAATGAAGCAATGAAATTTAAAAAAGAAACTGGTTAAAAATTCAGATAAATCTAAACAAACCCTAGATGCATAAAATGACAATAATTATAATAATCATTGATTTGGAGGCAGAGGTAAAATTCTAGTAGTAATATGTTAGATGATAGGGGGGCGGGTTGAATCAGATTGTAAAATTTTTATATGGTTTGGAAAAATGATAGAGATGTTAATTTACATTACTGTGTTAATATTTCAAAAGTA